CACACACCTGGGCCTTCACCCTCTCAGGATGTTAGGCCCAACACGCAGTCAGCACCTCCCATTTCTGCTGGCAAGATGAAAACAAAACGAAACTTACTAAAGGTGTGTCCCCGTTCGTCTGGTCCGTACTTTTACGAGTGACTTGCTCAGCTGGTAAGGTGGCAGCCTATGGACTGGATGGTCAGGGATATTCAAGGTCTCATGTCAAATGACAGGATAATTAATGAGTAATCGATTGGTTTAATTTAATGTTCTGTTGTGCATATGCGTGGAGGGTCTGAGGAAAATATGACAAAGTTTGGATTGCTGGTCTCAGGGCTTAGATTTCAACCTGATGTCTCTAAATTATTAACTGGAGTGATAACCACGCAGTGTACTTTTTCACTCTTGTATCAAGATTTTAAAAGTTTTTCTGTGTTCCTATTTTACGTCTTATGCCTTTGGGTCCATTTTGTTCTGCAATTTGTCATGTGCAGTTGAAATTTTATAATTTGTTTCTTAGGAATCAGTAGTACCAGAAATGTACTTATTGTTAATTGTTGTATGATTGTTTATATTTATTTTTCCCCATAATTTATCTCTTATCTAGTAAGCATTACATCGAAACGTTTCTTCCTTGCAGAACTGCAATTGCCACTTGAAAATTCCTCTATGATTCTTATTGAGAAAATATATTCCATTTGTTACTAACTGAAAACTTTTCCTCAAAAGAATTATGGCTCCAAGATTGTTTTCCTCTTCTGCGGTACTTTTGTGTACGAGAAAGTCGGAACAAGATCGTGTATGATCGTGTTGGATCCGAACTTAGCTAAGTTATGTTGTTATCAGGACTTCCAGCAGAATGATGGAGATTCACACAAAGAAGCAGTGCTGTTCAATGCCCAGTACAGAGACCTGGTGTGTCTTGTCAATTACCAGAGGGAGAAGCTGTCCACCCAACAGGCAGAGCTCACCAAGGTATTGGAAATGACTGGCTTTGTTGTTCTGCATTATGTTGTCATGTTTGTTTTAATGTGTTTATATTACACGTATGATTTATTTGAAGGTGGTTGCCTTTTATGTAGTGCCGTCTGTGTGGTCGGCTTGTGCTTAGCCTAGCCAGACGAGAAATTATTCCTGAGGTGGGTGCACCCAGAAGGTACATTTTAAGATGGTCTTTGAACCACAGTGGGAACCCAATGTAATTCACTCCCGAAATTTTTATTATTGGCAGAGGTGAAGGCTTCAGTCTGTGACCAGAGAGATTTTCACATACCTCTGAATGGGGATTGAACCCAGAATCTTCCTGAGACTACCATTTACAGTAACAGAGAGAATTATGACATTTCCATATGTATAAGGTATAATTATTTTCTGTCTTCAGTGTGCTAGTGGCGAGAAATTTTTATTTCTTGCAGTTTGACGCGGAAATCGTGTTCTGGGAAGGGAAAACTCGTGAGCAGCATCACCAGATGGAGTTCCTGGCGCAAGAGGCTGCACGAATTGAGGTCGCAGCCCGGCTTGGCGAGGAGCAGGTGTGTGTGTGTCTGTCAGTATCACTATCGTCATGTTCACAGCCACCTTAATTCATAATACATTGTCGCTGTCACCATATTTCACGGAGTAGTGGTAAGCACTTGAACTGGACGGGGACTGAGCATTAAGGTAGGCTGTAACTGCTCTTACATCTTTACTGATTTTTAGTCATCCTACCTTTTGATGGTTTATAGCCTCTGCATTTTAAATATTTGTCATCAAATAGGTCAATGTACCTAGTAGCATCATATAGGGCTTATATGTGGACTGATAATGTTTTAACCAAGATTATGGTTATAAAATCAGAGAGGGTGGGATGGGTTGGTAATGCAGCTCGGATTGTGGGATGAAAAATGCATAGAAAATGTTATTCAGCAGCCTGAATGGAATTGACCAATCCAGAGGTCCAGGAAGGAAGGAAGGATAGTACTAAATTGTATCTTATGGAAGTAGGATGTTGACTGTATTCATCTGGTGGGATCTTGTGAGTGTGGGGATGAACCTCCAATATGTTAAGGTGCTCGATATATTATTTTACAGTAGAATTCAGGCTGTTGAATAGAGGAAGTTTTGTTGAATGTAGTTGACACTTCTGCTTACAGCTGAGGTTACTTGGTGGTGTTGAGGAGGAGAGCGAGATAGTACGACAGCAGGAAAAGACACTTAAGTCAGAGCTAACATTGTTACGTTCCAAGCTTGCAAACTGCGAGACAGAACTGCTTCAGTGTAAGAATAAGATTCGGTAAGTTGCCCCACGATACAGTCGTGACTTATTGGATCTGTAATGAAGCATTCTACCCTGAGAGAAACTTTTTTTGTGTGGATGCTGTTGGTTGCTTGATGATCATTTGCTGGGAAGGGATTTTAGGCCGTATGGGATAATATTTATGATTGTGTGATTACTGCTGTAGTTTTACTTTTCATTCCGATTTGCTACGGGCCGAGGGCTGTGCGTGTTAAGAGCGCCAAGTTTGGGGGAATGGAACGGCTCGACAGGCAGTGTGTCTGTATTTGGAGAGTTGCCTGTATGTGTAGACTCTGTAAAGTGATCTATTACAAATAAATCAGTGTTGACATAGTGCCCATGGTAATAGTCGTCAGACGACAGGCGTCGACATCACAATGTAACTGCTTTCTTCTACAAATTCATCAGTCACAATCTTCTCCTGACACTATATACCCGTGCAGTTGAGAAAACACCCTTACGGAAAGTAAGTAACCAAGTGTACAAGTCTCTCACTTACTAAATGGGTAAACTCAACCTGTTTGTGAGGTGTGGTCTCAAAGTTAGAACTGAAACTGAAGGTCAGAAGAGTTAATCCATTCTGTCACATTGAAAGAGATCTGCAGCAGTTTTGACATTCTCTGAAGCACCTTGTGTGAATAATATTTTGTTTTCAATTTATCCTTCCAGTCTATGGACACATTAAATTCAGACCACTACAGCACTTAATGCTTACTTATTTAATTGGTTTGCAGTACATATGAAACTATGGACATTCACAGGCATCATGACAAAGTTTCACTGGACAATCAGAAAATTGCAGCTCCTAACTGACGTGACCGTCTGATGAAGTGATGATTTAAATGTGGCTACCGTGTGTTAGGTTGGTGCTGGAGGAGTTGCAGTTGGAGCAGCGGTCGCAAGTTCGGGAGTCGGAAGACCGTCAGTCTCTGGAGCGGTCGCTTCTGGGAGAGGTAGAACGGTTACAGCATGAGGTGGAGCAGGCAAAGCAGGGCACTGAGATGTCTGTACAGTGTGGTGAGAGCCTCAAAAGGGAGGTTAGTGTATGGTTTTACAAAACAGTGACCATGTATTCAGTCTTTAAGATACATGAAAGATAATATTTGTTCTGCACATTGGTTTATGTCCTGAGCCATTTGTGCTGATGTTACATGTGTTTTATTTATCTAGAGAAAATAAGATAGTGTAGTTGCGTCATATTGTGATTTATTAAATTAAAATTAAATTATTTGGTTATTCCGTCAAATCACAATGTATTTAAAATAAGATAATTAAAATATCATTCTGTGTTCCATATCGAATAATCAATTTACAATTGGAACAGTTACAACATGTTTCGGTTTTATTAAACCATCATCAGGTGTAAAATTATATTAAATTTAAAACTCAATTACAATTATTTACAATTTTTTCGTAGTGTAGTTTTTTGGAGGTCGTGTCCAGATATTTTCATATAATGGATCAACTTTAT